TAGAAGTATATTTGAAAATCTGCAAAGTTTTTGTCAGAATAGCAGAAGAGGTCATTATTATTTAAGTGGGTGTTCTGTGCAACATAAGAAGGGTAATAATTCTTTATGTCCCTCATATATGACATGCATTCCAGATTATCAAGACCATACCAGTAATGGAGCATAGAGAGGACATTGAAAAGTCAACCACTTTTAATAAATTCATCAAAAGCAGTATGATTTTAATTATCTTTGATCTGACACTATTGCTCTCAAAAGCCTTTTTTACACTCTATAATGCATGTTGTTCATAAATGTGGTAGATAATTTGCTCAAGCACACAAGTTTAGAACAACGTATTTACTTCATTACCTATTTAATTAGTTTACATATTTAAAACACACACAAATTTCCATATTTAACCATATGTGTTGACTAGCAATGAATAAATCTGATAAAATATAAGCATTCATGGATAAGTTTATACAGTATAGGAGAATAAAGAAAGAGAGAGGGAAAGTAAACATAAACATGTATGTAATATCAAGAAATTAATCATGGATCAGGCAACCTTTTGCCTGCAGAACAGCGTAATTCCTTTGAGGAATGTCATCATACAAATCCTGTTAGGTATGTAGTGGAATTTGGCACCCTTCTTCATGAAATACAGCCTCTATCTCTTTCTGAGATGAAGCAGTGGGAATCTGCTTAACCCTATCTGTTCCAGATCTTAGCATAACAGTTTAATAATATTTAAATCTGGAGATTTAATGGGGCTCTGGAAGTTATTTCCTTCATTAAAGTGTTCACAAAACCATTAAAGTTTTTTTGGCAGTGGGTATGTAAGCACGATTGTCCTAGAATATAGAACATTGTGCGAGAACAGACTTGATACTATAGGCATCTGGTCTTGGTCCTCATAGTTGTAGTCATTACAATACTATGCAGAGCGAACATCAGGACTAATAACTCCCAAGAGATTTCGGTTCATATTTCTACAGATCCCCCACCATGTTTAGCAGCTGGCAACAGACATTGTGGCTTAAAGAGATTCTTTCTTATTCTCCTAATATAAACCTACTGCTCAGGGGTCTAACATTTTTCTCCTTACACGTGGTTAGGCATCTGTGCATTGGCTTGAATAGAAGTGATTCCTAATGGCAGCCCAGCCATACATTCTAGGTTCCCCACCCATATGCAAATGTTTTTTTGACACTGCATCACAAGTGCTTATTCAATCATAACATCATTTTGGATGCTGTATTTTTGTAACCTGTCCTGACAATTTATTAAAGACTCCAAGACAGCTTTTTGTTGACAAACTTTAATTTCCAAGCAGATTTCCTCTTTGTTGATGGCAATGAACCTGATATGACCTGCCTCTGCAGTTGTTTTTCGAATTGTGATCTGGATACATTAACCCATTTTTAAATGGTATATTCATGTTTTTTCTATCAGTGTTCATACTTTATTTATTTTAATGCACACTAATGTATTTATTGTTTTGCTATTGTATTTACGAGATACATTTTTAATACAGCTTAGGTCTAAAACATGCAGTAGTTCTGTAAATTGTACAATGCTTGCTGTGCAATACATGCTTTTTTATTTTTGTTGTTGATCTGTGATCAAAGCAGCTCTGTCATTCCAGAGAAACAGCTTGAATTTAGCATGCCTTGCCAGGAGAACAGGACAGCTGAACACACCCGGGAATAGCACCGGGTGGGCAACATTGCCTTCGTACCAACAAGCTGTTCAGGGAAGGAGTTCATATCGTTTAACACAATTCTGAAATGTTACCATGATTAATAGCAATCCATCAACATGCTTATATTGCAGCAAGGCATAGGATTCTTTCCACAAGTGACATCATGATTGGCTAAAGGCGAGTCATAAAACAGACCATGGAAGGGCAATTTTGGGGCACTGCATTTGATTTAAGTTATGAAAAGAAATGTGTCAAGAACAAAGAAATAATAATGAACACTTTCAGCACTTATTAGCTCAAAATTGTTCCAGTACAGATGTAGACCTTGATAAGGAATGGATGAAATTTGACAGCTAACCTCTGGGCACACAATTAAAATGAATTGATTCTCTCTACAGAATACACAATGTACTTTTCATGGGTCTTACATTTTCAGAAACATTGGAGGTCAAAGGTAAAATTAGTTAATCACTATGGAGACTGATCAGGCCCCAGGTACCAAAGCTCCACTGTATCTGAGTTACAGATCAAGTTAGAGTAGAATTTCAAATACTTTCACACAAATTAAAACATCTACTCCTTTAAAGATCAATAGGCTCCCGTTTGGAGCTTAGCTAAAGGATAAGAGGGCTATTAATTCACATTAATGACAGATGCACTTCCACTGTTTGAAATATTACCTCAAGCCATATATTTAGGGAACTGATCCATCAAGACATCGATTGCACTTTGTAAGTAATACAACTTACAGAGAATAAGGACCAATGCAAATACTAGTTCTGATACTTTTATACATATTGTAGAAAACATATGGCTCACATATAACCAGAAATTAAGATATCTTTGTATTTAATTTCCTGACATACTATACCAACTGGTTAAAATAACATGCCTCAATGCTTTTTATCCTGTGAACATGTTTTTGTCAGAAGCTCAAACCTTAGACCACCAGTTTAGTTGTTTTGACTGCTAACAGCTTGTTGAAATGTTGGGAGTTAAGGATGTGACACTGATGGGGATTATCTAAGGAAGAAGGGCCGTGCATTGGCATCCATGACATGTCCACTTTGGATTATATACTTCCCATTTACAAGACATAATGAACAGCTGGCTTTTAGCTCAAATAATGTGGAAGAGCACTATTGATGCATTCATATTTAAATTTCAAACTGAATATTTACGTTGATGGCATTAGTAACAGTAGTGGCTGCTAGCATTTCAATGTTCAAAGCACTGCTAAAATACTCAAAAGGAAAATAAACCACTAGAGTCTCATGGCAAAAGATGTGGCATTAATAGACTTGCTCTACATGTGCTCATCAACAACCATTTTGTTAAAGCTGGAATTTGTTGTACAGATTAATTTCATACTTATATACTTGGATATCCATAGAAATAGAGGGTGATCAACCTAACTGCTCTAATTACAAATGGTGCTTTGAATAACTACCAATCATTTAATTAATAGTAAATGGAAAGGAGTGAAGAAGAGTGGTGCCAAATGCTGTTCATCTTTGGGGAGTGGGAACAATTACACATGCTGTATTGTAACCAGGCTCATTTATATTGACTCAGTATAGTTGGTTAGAAGTCAAGTGTCTGCTCCAAAAGACAAGTGATTGTTACTCAGTGACACTGAAAAAAACCAGTCAGATTGGACAGCTTTCAACTTCCGTGGGCTGCTTTAACACTCCCGGTAATATACTGCTCAACTTTTCTGTCAGCTTTAAAAAAATGCCTGTTCAAAGAGTTCTATTGTTCTGACTATACTATTAATTTATACACTGTCTGCAGGCAATTTACAAGCTGTAAAACGTGTCTTGACAAGGAACAGCATCATTTATGTATTAGGGAATGAGGTTACAATCTGTGTATCATGAAGATATTATTATTATCATTATTATTCTAATTACGTGTATAAATGGCAGCAGTGCACACTCAAGATTTGTAGATAGCATCACTTGTTCCCTTGGGATTTGGGTACAGCTATTACCCCTGCAACCCCTGTCCCTGTTATTACCCTGCAGCTACTTTCCCTTGCTCCAGAACTCATAATAAAAATGCTATATTTTGCTTGGATTTGTCACATAGGTAAAGAAACTCTTATCCATCAAAATGAATCTTGATTTATAAAGAATAGCACTGCTAAAACCTTTCCATTGGCAGGCTATTATAGCTAGAAAGGGGTGAGAGGATTCAAAAAAAAAAAGAAAAATCCCAGAATGTACTGAGTGTATACTGTATATCAGGATTTTTGCAGTACTGACAGAATGCCTCTATCCTAGTATCTCATGTAAGACTTGCTAAACATTTCTTCGGTCATCACCTGCTTTCACTTGTGAATTCCCACATCTGTCACACAGTGCCTCACACAAATTCCTTGCTATGTTACACATGTCTGCAGACCTCACAGTCCCTGCTACATATCTGTTCCAAACAGAGAACAGCTACAGTAAGTCTGAATGGGAAAAAAGGCAGCATAAAAAGATGAAAGAATAAAAAAGACTATGTAGAAGAGAAAGAGGAACAATGGTTGAGTAACCCCGAATAGAAAAATAAAATATTTATGGAGGTTGCAGCATGTGCCCACTAACTGCATTTTATTTGAAGTATACAGCAGGTTTGGTGTTAGCTATATCATGTGTGCTCAAGAAACATGATATGTGCATTGACTTACTTTTAATATTGCAGCAAGCATAGCTCTAGTTACTCAGGACTTTGAATCCTGAAGGTATTAGTGCTAAGAGCTATAGTACGGTCAAACTATATTAGAACGACAAAGAATATTTTATTGCTCCCAGAAAATCAGATTAGCAGAAAAGGAACTAATTGTAAGAGCTCAACACCATAACACCCATACCAAAAATTATTTCACACTTTAATTCTCAATCCACAAATGCCCTCTCCCTGAACTAACTGTAAGACTTTCCCACAGATGTAACATGTTAGGAAGTAAAACCTCAACTCCAGTGTTCAGTTTTCTTCTGATTTATGTCAGGCATCAATTTGAACTGAGTCAGGAGATTTACAACATAGGAATCTGAAAACTGACCCTGAGTACCCAATTGCATTCTTTGATGGCGGCATTTAGCAATAATATCACACTCACATAACGAAACAGATCCTTCCAACACACGTCCTTTTACTGTGATCTCATCCCTGTGCTAATATTTAAGCTATTCCTTTTATACATATTTATCACCAGTGACTGGGACTTTCCTGTTTAGTCTGATGTCTAAACTTCTCAATGCCTTTTCAAAACAAAAATATTCATTAGAAAAATAAATCTAGTAAATGTTGGAATAAAGTGTACCTGTTCCAATAAACATTACATCATACTGGCCATCTTCTGCTTCCACACGGTCAACCACTATCTGGGAAAACTGATAATCAACTTCTGTTTTAATTATAATAGGACGGTTGTTGATGGGAAATATGGGGTTGTACATAGCTGGATGGCTTCGAGCAAATGTAATAACTTCATCTGGGAGATCTTTTGTTGAATCAAAGCCTCCAAAAGTCTTGCTTGGACACTGAAAATAAACAACAAATGGTATGCATCAGCACTTTAGTATTTAGAAAAAATATACTGTTTTGGAAGGAAAAAAAGCCATGTGTACATACTGTATATTTATTCATTAAAGAATGTGGTAGGTTCTCATGTTGAGAAGCCCACACAGGTTTAACTTCCTCACATGCACAGGCTTGGCAATTAGCCACTTAGGCACAAGCACTGTACCTTAGGAGGAGATACATGCTCCTTTATAACCTAAAAAAACCCAGGTATTTACTAGTACCCAACAGAGCAATGGAGCAGTGGGAGAGAACAGAGAAGATGAGCATCCACTGGGGTTAGTAGTGGTGCTGGGGGTACTCTTCATAAAAGGAACGGGAAAAAGTGACAGATTATCTTTAAGTGATCATGTGATTGTCTTTATTGTTTAAACAGTGCCAAAATAATTGAATGTTGTAAAAAATCATATAATAAAATCACCCAATTACTTTTTTGCTCCAGGTTGTGCTTTCCATGCATATACGGGAGGTCTTGCCACCCAATACATTAGAAAATATGGTAATCTACTTGATACCATAACAGCCAATTTAATAGACTGCAATAAAGTGATAACAGTAAAGTGTGTGCACTCATTTGGTGAGTTATTTGAATAATGTATATTTTTAAACATGCTTTCAGATACAGAAGCTGAATTTGTTTCTCTCTCCTGGGCAGTATTCCTCCTATTACTGAGAGCTTGCTCCAGAGTTGTACAGCCCTACCCTGAACATTTTTTTTAATTTGTAAAAAATAGAGAAAGGTTGAAATGTTTGCCTATGGTGTCCCGCTTTTGGAAACATTTTCCTTTTCAATACAGTCCCTATATAGTTTGTGAGCAGCCTTTGACCCCTCATCAACCAATTTCATCTGCTATTACCTGATCAGTCTAGCACCCTCTAAGATGTCTATAAGGAATACACTTGACAGAGATGCTAACTTTAATCCCCTCTTTCCAAAATGAAACACATATGTTTTCATTGGAATTGGGATTTACGTTTCTTCTCCTGTCTTCAAGATGACAGGCAGGAGATCCTGAATATTTTATTTAGAAAATTTGGGGTGGCAGGATCTGTTTGTGTATTAAAATATTGGTTCCAAATAAAAGTGGTATCTGACCACATTTATAAAGGGCTTATCTTAAAACTGACCAACTTTTTGGAAACCGTTAATTTTAATTTCTTTATTATTAGGCTTCATAATATAATGATTCTTTAAATATTTATAAAACTTGTGCATCAATTAAAATTAACTAGCTGCATTCAGTATTTTTACAGTTAATAAAGAGTAATATTATTGGGGATCAGATGCCAGGTAACAAAGAGGTAGACAGCATTACACAGTATATTGTAAAAAAAACAAACATTTATATAATTTACAACCAAAAACATTTTTTTCCATTCCTGACATATGATTCTGATGAATCTTGCTAAAAAGTATTTGATTTCTACTTAAATAGAGCAGCACTTCACTTTTTCACTGAAATCACATTACAGAATTTAACTGCTCACATGTACAAAGCCACTTTATGTGCTGCATAAATTAATCATAGCACATTTTGAAGCGGAGCTTCTATAAAACACAAATTTAAACTAGAAGTGTAGATTTCATTAGAAAATACAATAGGGAAAAAATCAATCATCTTTGTCTTAACCTTGACCTAAGTATTATTAATATTTAAATAGTAATGGAATAAAAATCAATAATGTTACAAACAAGCTGGCATCGCTATCTGTTGGAAAGATTATCAAGCTTATATTGTATATGCATAAGTCAGGTGCAAAAGAGCACTCTTTTCCTTAACATATTGTTGATATTTATTAAAGGCAACCTCCAGGCAGCTATAAAAAAACACCAAGTAATCTAGCTTTGTCTTCATATAATAAATTAATAAAAACATTTATATAGAACTAGTAAAGAAATCTGTCTTGATATTAGTCCCACTTTATAATTTCTTGCAAAGCATTGCCAGGAGCGTAAGGGTAACATTCTGAGCCAATCATCGTTTTATTATGTACAGGGAACCGGCAAGAAGGGCCAGGAAAATTAAGTTATACATAGTTTGCTGCTGCTCCTTCATTGTCCATCACAATTTTAGGGGAGCTGTATTGCTTAACTGCAATGTAGTCTGCACATAGCTCTAGGACTTGACTCCACAGTTTAACAGGGGTAACTGGTTAACAAGACTGGCTGAACAGATTTACAAACCTTTTGATAGGTAAAAACAGTTTATGCATATTTATTTTAACTGTGAATTTAGCTGCTTGTCTGGAGTTCAGCTGCAATACTTTTGTGCTTCATTAAATATACAGCTGAACCTATTACCCCCGTTAACTGTCAACGCTTTTGATAAAAACCAAACTTTCACAAAATAAGGAAGTAGTTACACAGCAAAAGTACCATAACTCCTTCTTTTAGATTCTGTATGATTGCATGCTACAGTATTTGTTCTATTTCCCCCACCATTAAATATAGAGCCAATTGTTTTCGCTTTAATTCTGGATTATTCAACTAGGTATTGTAAAGAGAAAAGCTAAACTGAAGAAATCCATATCCCTTAAAGGGAGTTCTGTTAATTTTTTTATTTTATATGTTAGGTTGCTGCACTTTGATACTTTCTCTCATGTAAAAAGTATCTGGTGGCCTTAAAAACATAAGACCTATTTGTGAAAGCTTCTTTGAGCAATGTCAATTTATTGGCTTTTATAAGCTCTCCAACAGAATTACTAACTACTTTGTATTTCTGAGTAGCTTATATCAATGTTGACTGGCTTCTGGCCATGTAGTCAAATTAAAGCAGATACAACAGAAAGCTGCCGACTCAGAAACAGAAGAATTGTATGCAATGAATAAAACAAAGCTGGGTTGTAACTCATAACATATTTTTTTCTTCCAAAATATATGCATTTTTAGCTAAAGAATAAACCCAATGTAGAAAAAACATTTGCAATACAGGTGACACTGTAGGTAACAGCCTCACCTATAAATGTGAGCCTGTTTAATACATATTTTTTTATAATACAACAATATTAATGCATATTTTAAGTAAGTTTTATTAAACTTACAGTTCCTGGCCTAGGGTATGGAACTCGACCTTGATACGGCACCCATTGATAGTTTGGACCATCTCTGTGAGCATATGGACCCAGGAATACTCGTCGTACATCCGACAAGCTGTACAGACATACAGCTGACCCCTTGAATACATTACTACAAATATAGAAAAATAATTTTGTTTTTCTCCTTAAAAAGATGGAATTAACACAGATTCACTTTATCTACTGTTACTTGTATGCATTAGAATAAAGATAGAAAAGAAACACAACTATACTGGATGTTCATAATAATATAATTAAACTTGCATGAACTTTGAATATGCAACAGGATGCTTTCACCATAATTGAAAACTTATTGGCAAATTTAAAGAGAACTAAATGCTTGGAAATGACATATTTAGAAGATAACTTAGGCTGTGCAGGCTATAACATCACCTTTGTATCTCTTTTTACCATTGTAAAGTACAGCTAGTCCTGATGCCAGACACCAATACACAGACTTCCTTTACAAGTTGTAAAGGACCAGGCTCAGAAGAAAAGGATAATGAGATGGAAAAATGCTTGTCACAGGACTATAGAATGGTTGGGTGCAAGGATGAGAGCAGGAAGGTAAGATAAGCAATATTGCCACACCCACCTCACCTTGATTCCTCCCATTATGGTAGCCATTTAATCATCTGAATGTGAAATAAATCAAGTAAGCTTGGTGTAATTACCTTGATGTTGTAAAAACAGCATACACTACTGGATTCTTAGGATCTTTGGAATTCATTAAATACACATCCTCTATAATAGAAAAATAGTTGGATATTATAAATATGTCAACATCCAAAAAGGTTTACTCCCTTCTACATTGTAGGATAACAGTGCACTTTTATCTTGTAGTGTACTCTTATGAGTAATTCACTCTGGCTTTTAAAAATCATCCTTATTGTATCTTAAAGATAATCTAAAGTGTTTTTTATACAGATATTTTATTATTATCATCAAGACTAAAGAAATAAAAAAGTGTACATTGTGTTTGCCCAGGTAAATATAAACACTGCATACGAATATCTCATATTATTACTTGTAAAGAGCAGGTAGTAATGCTCAGCAATACTGTTTTACATAGAGGTGTTCTACTTATATGCTGTTAATAAACGGAATATCCTGTATCATTTGATCTATTGTGATTCACATCTATTTCTCACACACTGAATGAAGTCAGAGGAGGCATATCCCTTATTTCTCTGCTTGCCCATAGTGACCTGTATGTTTTTTTTTTTTTAAGTGCTGGTTATTCCTTATTAAAAGTGTATATTTGTTCCAAAAAGATTTGTATAAGTAATGAAAAAGAATCCAATAAAAAAATAAACTTTTAATCTTCAAAATGAGAAAAGAAATTAAAAATGAAATTGACCAAAAAGCCATTATAGATTAACTAACGGCAGATAAGTAAATATTTAATGTATATTACTACTTGGAAAACATTAAAACGTTTCCTAATCCTTTTTCTACTTTGGAAAATGTATATTTAATATATTAATAAAACCCTTGCATGCATGAACTCTAACAATAGTGGATCACTATTATGAAGTTAAAAAGGGAAGCTTTTTGGACAAATTAATACAATTGTACAAATTTGCAGCTTACAAAAGGAAACTTCTGTTACCTTTCCAGCACTCTTTTGACATCTGATCAAGACACCCCAAAAATCCTTATATGACCATCAACTTTCTGAGAGATGATAGTTTTGCAGGGCTAACAATGCTTTCTCCATCCCTTCCATCCCTTTGTGGCAGGATGTGGGCACCACAGTTGGCTGCTCAGACACCTAATGCTGAATTGTGGGAGATAAAGGGAAGTGCCACTTGTTGCCCTACACTGAGAAGCATCCGGTATTTTGCTGGGTCTATTCTAAAGGATAGGACAGTACAGAAACATTAGAAAAGTAAAACTGGACACATTATTATGACCCATGTGACCACATTATTGCCTTATGTTTCTAAGTTGCGAGTCAGAAAGAAACATTTCAAATCAAAATGCTTATGAGTTTTAACAAAAAAAATCCCCAAAGTGCTTTTGTGTACCGATGAAGGGGTACATTTTTAACAAGTCTGCACATACATTAAAAATGATAGCATATATATTACCATGCCATTTAAACATCAGCATACAGCAAATTCTGGTTTGCTTGAAATGGAATACTACAATTACACACTCATCAATCAATGCATGTACAAAACACATCGAGGCAGTGTACTAGTTGGTATACTTACGCAATTCATCAAAATGTGTATCAATTCCATTGGGACCGGGTACAGAACAAATTAACCTTGCCTTCAGGAATGTGGTCCATTTGTTAACCAGACTTCTGTGCCCGCCAAAGTCATTCTGTCAACAATTAGATAGGATTAGACTGGTTCAAGTGTGTATGCATTATTAATACAATACAGTTAGCTAACAAGCTACCATACAGCTAAGCCTTTAGTCATTACAATTTATTTAACAAAGTGTCAAAATAAAATGTGTTGCCTATAGCATTTAGATCATGTTAGCAACTCTAGACATCAAGTAAAATCAATCTGTTTAGACAAAACAGCATCCCTTTTGTCACACGACTCAGTGCTGTGTAAGTACCTTCTATGTCCATCTGAGAAAAAGAAAGGAGCCTACACAACAGTCTAAATCAAGAATACCTGCTTTGCACATTCATGCAGTGCAAATTAATGGCATTTCCAGCAAAGCAGATTAGTAGTACAGTAAATAAAAAAATTAAAGTACTACAGCTATGCCTGGAAGAAAAATTGAATCACTGGTTAGTTAGACTATGGTTCCTGTATATATTTCAAGGCTAAACCTTTCTCATCACCCAATACTATTGAAAACAAATTCAATAGAGCCCGTTAATGCATTGTTGCTATGGGGAAATAGCCTTTTTTTATAGTCACTTGACAAAAATTCCTGTATGACTGATAATATTTCTCACTGATCCCCTAAACTAAAGCTTACAATCTGTTGCAATTTGACTCAGAATGTAACCATTTCAATATGGAAATGCATAAAACATGTTCCTCAGGTCATAGCAGAGTTCCACAATGTAAGGTTTAATCTTGGAAACAAATTACATTGCTGTGCAATGTTGTTAGCGTGTTTAGTCTCTGGGGTACAAAAAATCATTTTGTTGCACATTTGGAAAGGATTTCAAAATGTGTTGGTCATATGGATTTGTGTTTTTTGTCATCACAGCACACACCATTGAGGACTTCTTGATGAATAACATATTCAAATGCCATTGGGCATAAGGATACATATGTATTTTTCTCCAAAACACTTTGAACATCTGGCACTCAATCCCTTATTAAAAAGTAATACAAAGTATTTTTATAAGAAAAGTGCAAACATAGTTGACAGAAATCTGTTGCCAAATAATTGTTACTCTTCAAACTATAAAAAGTATATGCCTTCCTCAGACAGAAACACAGAAGTGCAGTGTGTTTTGTTTCTATCCTGATGAGAGTTCATTATGCAACCTCTGAATAATGAGCACAAGAAAAATCACTTATTGCTAGTATAAGACATTCTGATAAGAGTCATATGAGACTTTTAGGGGCAAGGTGTGCTGTATATGATACTTGTTTATTCTTTGAATTAACAGTTCATTTTTTGAGCAATCTTTTGAGAGGTTATTTCCCTTCTTAATGTACAGTAGTCAATGGTTTTGTTACATCTGCAAAAAATTTTTTTGTCTACAATCACCTTACCTAGTAGGTGCAAGGCCAAAAACAAAATAAATCTTTGGATGGAACCTTATTAAATAGTTGACTAAAGATTATTTTTTTAATACATGTGTTTTCTCTTGGATATGATGCCTTTACTAGCTAAGTTAAGGTTCAACATGAGTGTTTCCAGAATTAAATTTGGGGCATACGTCACACTAGGCCAATTTAAGGGTCTTTGTCAATGGCAACAGTTTGAGACACTAATGAGATAATTTACTGACAAGTGCATTTGACCTGCAATTAACTTCCATCTGACATGCTTCAAGCAGATTTTGCATTCCCATGGACCACCAATCCTTCCAAACACATTTTCCTTCATGTTTAAATCTATCTATGAACAACATTTCACACCAAAGTCTCCTGAAGAATCATAGAATAGGAAATAAGCAGGGTTATTAAAGGGGCATTCCACTACGTGTGGTGCCTGGCAGGGTATTGCATGTTCCAGCTCCTTTTGCTGCATTCTTTGTAATACAAAATAAATGAAATAATAAAAACAGGTAGGGCATAGAATCACTGAGCAATAAAACAAACGGTCAAAAAGTTTTATCCTCTAGCATCTAACAAAATTTTAAATATCAGTTTTGGATTGACTGACCCTTTAAAATAAGGCAGCACAAAGCACAGCCACAATTTCCAAAGAGCAGTCTGGATTCAATAAACTGACTACAGAATTCTGCACCGTGCAAGATTGTATTGAATATGCTGTATCTGTACCAGTATGTATAGCAAATTAACGTGAAATTTTAAGAAAGAAAATCTCAACAGCAGCCTCCATATTAGAGTACAGGTTTCCTTTCATAAACTGAAAGTAAAAGCAATAGCAAAAGCATCCAGGTGCCTGCAGTTAACACCATTCTCTTTTTAGAGCACCCTGAAACCTGGGGCATTTTTTTCATGCAGAAATCACCATCAGCTAGGAAGTCAGAAGTATAGCCTGCCCCCCTCCCCCCCTGTGTTCTGTTGCTGGCTCATCTGTTGATAGTGCACCTTCCTAAAAAAACAGCAAATGTCGGGGGGACAAGCCTCATGTTACAAAATACCAATAATCATGTAACAAAACACCCTAGTTTGGAGACTTTTGGGGCATGCTAAAAAAAGAAGCTGAAGTTGCCTGAGAATGCCTGCCATTGCATTCAACTACTTGTAGTAAGTAGGGATGAGCCGAACACCCCCCTGTTCGGTTGGTATTCGAACATTAGAACAGCCGAAATGTTCGAATACGAACTCAAACTCAATGCAAGTGTATGGGGGTCGAATGTTCGACCCTCATACAGTTGCCGGTACATGTGATAAATATTGTGTACTGCCCCCTTACCTGCGCTGCTGTAACGGCCTCCGGTCCCCTGGTCTCCTGGTCCGTCCGCTCGCTGTCCCGGCGGTCCGTCGGCTTCTCTTCTTCGGTCCAGCCGCGGCTCCTCTGCCCCGCCCCCCTGCCTCCACTTCGTCTGCAGGCTGGGAGCCATACCCAGCCTGCTATATGATATTGTAAAATGCAATAGCCAATAGCAAGCTGGCTACTGCACCCGCCCACATGGGGGGACCTGATAGAGAACTTTCTCCTTCAGGCCCCTCCTCCGCTGAGCCCTGATTGGGCAAAGTCTTGCACCTGACCTGTGGTCAGGTGCAAGACTTTAACAAATCAGAGCTTTAGTGGGCATTTTGTATTATGGAATGTGCGCGGTCGAACAGACCGCGAACATCTCATAAAGTTCGGCGCTCGGCGAGCACTCGAACTGCTGATGTTCGATTCGAACTCATGTTCGAATCGAACACTCAGCCCATCCTTAGTAGTAAGTAACTATATTTTTACATTTGTCAATTCTACTCTAGGACTCTACAAGCAAATAAGCACAAACTATATAATCTGAGAAATAGCACCAACAGCAATGCAAAATCATTGTTAAATATAATGCCAACAGAGGTGTGCATCCCCCTCAGTGATTTGATTTCATGCCCATGCAAACAGAATAAATACTGACTCCTACTGCTGTACTTTACATACAGCAAGTAAATCAATTTCTTATCAATGTATTACATAATTCTAAAAAAATATATTAAACGGAAGTGTTTTTCGGTAGGGCAGATTTTTATCAGTTTTACTTGTTTATCATAGGAAACCAAGGTTACATGTTAAATATTGAAAATGGCAAGGCAATTAGAACAACATTTCATTTTGCTTTTCTTGCTAAATGTGTATTAGAGATTTGTTTTTCATGTAATATTTTCTCAGCATTTGCATCAATTTGATTATGATTATCAAATTACCAATACACAGTACTTGCTACTGAAAAAATAATACTGTAGATAAGGAATCAACCACTCATAGTTTTAGAAATTCTTACTTGTGAGAAGGTTGTTCTAGGATGACTTTGGCTAGTGTTAAAATATTTCAAAGGTAACAGGACGTTAAAAGCTCCGGGACTCAAGGCTAGAAATATTTATAGTACAGAGAAGGCCGTAAGCAGAGAACAAAAGGTGAGCAAGGAATGATATTTGTGATCTCAAGTTCATCAAAGTAACCTGCTTTACCTTTCATATAATTGAAAAGCAGAAATGAAAGCAAAATTAAAGTGATAAACTTTAGAGCAAAAAAACTGAAATGCCTAAAAACACTGCCATAGTACAAGCTTATAATTATATA